GGGGGGGGGGGTGGGGTAGGAGGCAGGGGCGCTAAAACATGCTGATCGTGGATACTGATTAAACACAACTTATGGGATGCTATGGCGGATAATACGCAACAATATTTTACAAGATATGTAGCATTTTTCCGAACCTTCTAGAAATGAGTAAAATGAGTAAAATGTATTCATATATCCATCTGTGTCGACTTTAATGATTTATTTTTCTCATCCCTTCAAACTAATCACTACCGTTACAGTCATATTTTTCTGGCATGTGAACGTGATATGTAAAAAGTTCCATTGTATGAACTTGATATTTTGTCACCCCATGTAAGGGATTCCGGATTCTGGAATCCGGAAAATTTCACTTGTGGAATCCGAAATCTTGGGCTTTGGAATCCGGAATATAACTCAAGGAATCCGGTATCCCATAAACGATCGGAATCCAGAACCCAAGTTCCACTGACAAAAACTGGAATCTAGTACCTGGAATCCGGAATCCAAGACTATCTTGGATTCTCTTACATGGGGCGAATTTTGACTATTTACAATACAATAAACGTTAACGCCAACATAGATGCTTGACATCTAAGAACTTCCAAGCCAGAACTGTGTAGTCGAGTTCGCTGACGAGGTGCAGCGAAAAGCGGGGTTAGTTGCACCGTAATAACCAAAGTTGTCTTCGTTATATACTCCTCCAGGCTGTCCGTCAAATTCACAGCCTCTTGAGTAGCCAAACCAGCTGTCCATGTGCAGAGTGTAAGTGTCAGAGTACGCAGTGAAAACTGTGCATTTGGTGCACTCATTTCCACGAACGTTGACAAACTCAGAGAAAACACAGAAGTCATGTGTTGGAGGCTCCACAAAAAGATCCAAACTTTCTACAGAAACTTTCCAGTAATCCCGGTAGTCCATCCCATCTGTAGGAAAATGACAAGTGGCTCGCCAGTGAGTGGAGATGTTCCCGATTGACTTCATACGGGACATCGACAGACGGTAGTTACTCCATTCAGGTGTATTTTGGTTGATTGGCAGGTTGTACAGGTAGAATGTTTTGTCTGTAAACGCGCCATTGTTTTGGAACGAGTGGGACTGGATCAGAGTCCATGCCATACCAGTCTCGGAACCAAATTCACAATAAACTGGGAACGAAATGTTGTTTTGGTCAACAATGTTGTAGATACCATTGGATTTGGTTTTCTCAAACAACATTACGTCTCTGCATGATTTCGGCGGGGGCACAATTTGACACTAAAACCTGTTGGACATGTGCAGTTGAATCTTCTCTTTGTGACGTCACACACTTCATGACACGTGCCTCCATGTTGACAGGGGTTGGACTCACAGCACTTGTTATGACAAGTTTGATAAGAACAGCTTTTATGGAGACTAGTCTATAGAGAAAAAGGCGTTAGAGTTGAATTTCATATTTGGGTAGAAATTATAATGATTTCAATAGCTTAAGTTATTTTGCTTTTTAGCGTTAAAAAGCAAAGACATTTAAGCCATTCACCGTCAATCAAATTTGAAAAATATCAGCATGAGTAGTCTAATTAAGCCTTGTTGGTGCGTTCCCTTGCGTTCTGTGTGCGTTCCCTTTATTAATAAGCATAAGGGTCGAGTCTATGACGTCACCCATTGTTATAACCTAGAGAAAGAGTGCTTTCCTCCATACTAATTAATTGCCTTCCCCATACTAATTCGGTTAAGCTTTACTAATGAGCGTCCCTCTTCTTCAATAGAAACAATAGGCTTGCCTGCACTTGCCCGGTAAGCAATCCGGTAACTTTAGCCCGGTTTTTTAACCGGGCTAAAGTTGCTTATAACGTCTATTAAATAACGGAACAAACGGAATTTGATCGTGTTTGATGATCAGACGATTGACGCCAGTAAAGACAAGCGAATCGTGAACCTCTTTACTCGTGGTTCTCATCATCGCAATCTAAGAGTGATTTATATCGTGCAGAATCTATTCCATTGGGGGAAAGGTAACCGAAGCATAAGCCTAAACAGTCATTATCTGGTGTTATTCAAGAATCCGCGAGACAAATTGCAAATCTTGACTCTGGCGAAACAAATGTACCCCGAGCAAACGGATTCCTTTTTAAATCAGTACGAAGAGGCTGTAAAAAGACCTTTTGGTTATCTGTTGATTGATCTGAAAACTACTACCCAAGATAATTGTCGACTGCGAACAAACGTCCTACCCAGTGAGGAAGGCTTTAACCAAGCAGGGTTTCAAGAAAATATTCCTCAAGAGCTTCTAAAATATCTGAAGCAGCAAACTCTTTCGCCTGTTCCGCTTCTTCCAGCTATGCAAGAAATACAAGGCAACATGGATGACATGCTTTCTCGAAACGTTCTCCGGGACGATGAAAAAGCTAAGCGATTCTTTCAGTTGCAAAACAGATACTTAGCTTTTAAGAACAATTAAATACAAGAACACGACCTGAAGAAATAATCAGCGCTGTTGCAGACTTAACATCAAGGACACTAGATTCTTCGACAGCAACGGCAG